GAGAACAATATAAAAATTATTTTTTTTTTTGAAGAGTAAAAGTTGTATTATGAGTCCCAAGAGAAAATCTTATGAGCATGTGAAATAGTGTTGATTACCACTTTGTATTCAGACAGTCCCAAAGGGTGAGCTGCCCTTCTGGCACTTGAAGAACTCGGCTGTAGCAGCCAAAGAAGATTCGTAGGAAGAAATGCCAGTCGTGTAACAGAAGGAAAGCTCATTCCCATGCCAGTCAAGACGAGGGAAGCCAGCACATTCCTCATCCCCCAAATGGCCACAGATCAGATGATGTGGAGCTCAGCAGTTTGGTATGAACAGCTGAGATGAGCTTAATTTGCGGGCTTCCCCATTGCTCTTTTTTCTGGAGAACATTAATCTTTCATTTGTTTTTTTAAGCTTTCAGTATGGATTAAAATGCTGAGAAAAAAATTAGTCCTGGCAATTTCCTTTATTATTTGCATGTTTGTGCAAAATCTAGTACATCAAAGGCACCTTAGATGTCATCTGGCCATGACATTGTGGGGTCTTATAAATCTGCTTTCTTAGTGTACTTCATTCTGAGTCTATATTATCCCAAAAGAACATTTGATAGTTGACAAGAGTGGATATAATCATTTTCTATACATGAGGAAGGGAAATAATCTCCTTTGGAAAATAATTATTAAGATAAATCTGGAGACCAAATTAATTTGTAACTCAAACTGACCTGCTTAATCCTCAACAATGGGAAAAACTGCCTTATATCAGAAAATAAGCAATCCTGAAACTAAAAAAAAAAAAAAAAAGTCCTCTTCAAAATGATGATAATGGTTCTTTTTCTGTATATTATGCTTATTGTCTACCAAAATTTCAGAGACAAAAATGTTTTTAATATTTTCAAAAGAACTGTACACAAATGAAAAAGCCTCCCATCCTCTGCATGAGCTCGTTAGCGAGACTCACCCTGCTTCCCCCATGGCCATCCTGATGCATGAGCCTCACCTTCTAGAGGCGGCCTTTATGTTTCACTGGCCCCCCACATGCAGCCCACACACAGATCTTAATGAGTCTCTGCTCATAATCCAAGCATAGCTCACTACCTCTCCTGCTCCACTCGGATCGAAGCCACATCATCTGTTTGGAATAACTGCCTAATCAGACGCAGCCCCTTCTCTTGCAGTCTATTCATAATCAGTGGTCCTTTCAAAAATGTATGTCAGCTAATTCACTCCTATCCTTAACACCCTGTCCCCACTGCCGACTCAGAGCACACATATAAAACAGTGTAGAATGGCTCCCTGGAAATTCTGAAAACATAAGTTTTTCCAGAAGCAGACAGCCTCATCTCTCTTCTTGAAAGTGTAGAAGCCAAATGCCTCAGCTCCTACACCACCAGAGCTCATTAAGTCCTTACAGTGCCTCCCTGCCCTTAAAGTAAAAGCCAGTATACTTGCAATGGCCTAGGACAGTGGTTCTCAACCTTCCTAATGCCATGACCCTTTAATATAGTTCCTCATGTTGTGGTGACCCCCCCAACCATAAAATTATGTTGCTACTTCATAACTGTAATTTTGCTACTGCTTTGAATCGGGCAACCCCTGTGAAAGGGTTATTTGACCCTCAAAAGGGTCACAACCCACAGATTGAGGACGAATAGCCTATGGGATCTTGATTACCTACACTGACCTCTAGCTCTCTGACCCCTAGCTACCACTTCCACTAGCCTCCTCCAGCTGAACTGACATTCATACTCTTTCTCGTAAGTGTGGATGTGCACCCCCCTGGAGCCTATGTCCTAGCTGTCCCCTCTGAGTGAGATACTCTTGCCACTCCTTTATAGCTCTATATCCAAATTTTCCATCTCCTTCAAGTCTTGCTCACGTGACATCTTCTCAATGAAGGTCTAACCAGCCACCCTATTTAAAGCCACAACTTCCCCTACCACCACACCTAAGACTCTCCACCCTTCATCCATACCCAGCACTCAACATCATCTGACTTTCTAAATAATTCACCTTTGTAATGTAAGTATGGTTCACCATCTTATGTTAAAAGTTACAGCCTTGCAGATCAGAAATTTTGTCTTGGCCACTGATGCACCCCAAGTGTCTGGAATAGTGACTAATACGTGGTAGGTTATCAAGAAAAAGAGCAGAATAAATAAACTTAATAAAGAGTGTGACCTAAAGACTTGGGCCTCAAATTTTTCTAGAGTGCCTCAGACTATAAGGAAAATAAGTTAACATCCAGTTACAAATTTTGCTCTTAATTCCTTGTCCTAAATTATGTGCAGATGGAATTATTTCAGTAGTAAAAAGCCTTCCAGATTTCTCAGAGGCTTGTGATAAAGCTTTTTTTTATTCACTAAACAGAAGGTGAGGATTTACACACTAAGGTGACCAGACGTCCCGCTTTTGTCAGGACAGTCCCGATTTTTAATAATTTGTCCTGCGTCCCGCGGTGTTTTAAAAAAGTCCCGATTTTGGGAAAGAATGCACGACAAGTTAGGGTAAACAGTTTTCAGCTGCCATGTGGCTATTTTGCCTGGATATGAGTTTTATCAATGGTGTCCCGCTTTACCAATGTTAAAATCTGGTTACCTTATTATACACAGAAGAAGCAATAAAGTTGAACCCCCCCTGCTAACATGTGGAACTCTAATTTGCGAAGTTCGACACCAGTCTGAAGACAGCATCCAGGGGAATACGGAGTGTGTGACATCAAGAAATTAGGGCTTCACATGGAACAACATATCAACCTGTGTGATCACAAGGTGTCGAATGGATCACTGAAGACAAATGGGTGCATAAGCAAATGTGGCAAAGAAAGCTGATGGTGCCCGGCTATCAAAAAGTATAGCGTCTGGGGTCTTAAAGGCTTGAAGGTAATCAAGTGGCCATCAAGCTCAGAAGCAACAAAACCCACATGGAAGAAGCACACCAGCCTATGCAACCACGAGGTGTCGAAGGGATCAGGTATAAGGCATCATCAGAACAAAAAATCTTACCATAATGAATGATGGGGGGAGTGCGGAGTGGAGATCCAAAGCCCATTAGTAGGCCACTGGAGATCCCCTTGCAGAGGGGTCTCGGGGAGGAGACGAGCCAGTCAGGGTGCAATGTAACAACGATGAGAAATACAACTTTCCTCTAGTTCCTAAATGTTTCCTCCCCGCTCCCACTACCATGACTCGAATTCGACCTTGCAAGTCTGGCTAGACCAGAGGATGTACACTGGTACAGATAGGAACTGAAAATACAGGGAATCCAGAGCGGATGATCCCTACAGGACCAGTGGTGTGAGTGGCGAAACAGGGAGGGTAAAGGGAGAATGGGTAGTAAAGAGGGAACTGATTACAAGGAACTATATGTGACCTCCTCCGTGGGGGACAGACAACCAAAAAGTGGGTGAAGGGAAACGTCGGACAGGGCAAGATATGACAAAACACCAATTTATAAACTATCAAGGGCTCATGAGGGAGGGGGAAGCGGGGAGGGAGGGGAAATATGAGGACCTAATGTCAGGAGTTTAAGTGGAGAGAAAATGTTTTGAGAATGATGTACAAATGCGCTTTACACAATTGATGTGTGTATGGATTGCGATAACAGTTGTATGAGCCCCTAATAAAATGTTTTTAAAAAAAAGAAAAACTTTCCAATGGAAATGAAAATTTCAACAAAAAAAAAAAAGAAACGAGGGCTTAACTCCATGGCCCCAACAAAGAAGTCAAGAAATTGTATTGTCATATTTGCTGCATAAGTCACCTCTGGAAACTAATAGATATATCTATCTCTAAATAATCTGAACCTAATTGTGACACAGTCACAGTTTTACAATGGAGTAATTGTCAGTTTTTGAACATGCCTCTTCCTTATTATACCAGCATCCCTCAGAGTTTCTAGAAAGGATTTGATGTAATTTACTTCACCCATGAACACATACACACACACAACTATCAGGTGTTTATATAATGATCTCTCATCCCTGGGATTTTCATATGCATGTTTTTATATGATTGTCACAATAAGTTATTAAGCATACAGAAAAGACAATTTTTTCTGCCCCTTGGTAATTATTTTCAGTTAAGAATATAACATCTCAGGAATACTTAAAAACTTATCCCAAACCCAGGTCTTCAGATTGGTAGAAAAAAATGTTTAATTTTAAAATTATCCCACATTGAGTCCTCACATTCATTTTGAAAATGAACAACTGAGCCATGGGAAAATGCTATAATAGACTATTAATATTAAAAGGTAGATTGTATATAATGTTGTGAATTTTTTCAAACAAAAAATATATATGCAGAGAAACAGAAAAAAGATTATCATGATCTTAAACTTAAAAACCAGTGTGTGTTGTGTTGTGCTGTGCTGTGCTGTGTTGTGTTTGCAGAAGAAAAATGCAAGGTATGCAGGAGGAGTCCTTGGGTGGCTCAGATGGATAAGTGCCTAAGAGCCAAAGGCTTCCGCTCCACGTGTGGGGTCAGCAGCAACTCACAACAGCAATACAGTAACCACCACAGACACTGTACACCTCTTCCTTTTCTAGTTACAGCCATTTTTTCTCAAGTCGCAGTAAAACAATAATAATAATGACAGCTATGTTTATTTTTTGAATGTGAATTTAGGGATTGTTACTCAGATTAAGTAGCAAGATAAAACCCCAATACCAAAAAGGTGTACATAGGGTCTTCTTGGATTTCATTGTAGACTTTACACCTAGATAGTCTCATCCTTCTTTAAGCTAGTTAGTCTTGTTGTTTGCAGACTGGGAAGCTGGACAAGAGATACTGATGTGCATTCCTCTGGCTTACACACAAGGAGAAACAAAGGGCAGCTTCCAGCACCAACTCAGTTACTGCCTAAGTACCACTCAAAGGCAAGCGCTTTTCAAGCAGGCGGGGTGTCATTTGGCCTTCTTCGTTAGTATTATTTGATTTCCTATTCGGGGTTCCAGATGTAACTTATTTGATATGAGGTGTTCCAGAGTCCGCCACCCTGCACGCAGGGCACCCTTACCTGTTGATCTCCAGTGTGTGCACACCATACTTGCTCTCAATCAGGTATTTTCCTGGCTCTCCTGCTTGGCAAATCAAGCTACCATCTTTATACCTAAATAAAAGAAACATTTAATTTCATTAGAAACAGATATTTTTTTCCTATTTTTTCCCATTCTTTGTTATTGGTACCTCTATCATGCTATTATTTCTGTACTACTACATTGTTCATCTGAGGTGGGTGCAGGGGCAGTGAATTATTTAACTTGGCATTTCTAGCCAAAGTCTCTAACTCCCACCAGACAACCTTTCCCTGAATGGGTCTGGTAATAAGGTGGGGGACGATACTGATATTATTCATGTGTGAGTAATTGTGAACAATATTCCCCGATGTACACGCCTGCTGTGTGTAAAATGAGCTCTCTGAGAAGCAGAAGATCCAGAAGACAGCTACACCGTAAGAGGAACAGCAGCAGAGCCAGGAGCGAGAGCATGGAATCGATAGATGAATTTACCAGTCTGTGGAGCCAGTAAAGCTGAGTGCTTTTGTGCAGGAGGCTGGCTTGCAGAATGCAGTGCCTCTAGGCTGGTGGGGATGTGGGGTTTGCTGACTCATGGGTGTGGGACTCGGAATCTTTGGGTTGAGGCTTCCTGCAGTGGGATGGCTCTCAGCGCTTAGATCAGGGGGTTGTGTTTGCTGGCACATGACCTTGAGCTGAATGCCTTGCGGTGGAGGCTTACAGTGAAGTGGCGTACCCTTTGGGGCATTTATTAGCAGACCTGAAAGAACTTTGTAAAATCTCCTAATGAAAAACTCAAGCCTAAGCATTTATCACTCACATGACAACTTGCTACCTTTCTTAATAAACCCTTTCATCATGATGTAGCAGAGTGGCACAGTGGAAGCGTGCTGGGCCCATAACCCAGGGGTCAATGGATCAAAACCATCCTCTGCTAGCTTTAATATTTAAAAGTAATATATATCTACATATATATATATATATAAACCCTTTCATCATGAATTTTGTCTTGTGACTTCTGTGTCGCCAATGCAATGACTATCAGAACCCAGTGAGGTAAAATAGAAAGCACAAATTAAGACCACACAGTAAGTAGGCTGGAGAAGGGGGACCATTATAGTAAAAGATTCACTGTCATTATTTCCTTTTTTTTTTTTTAAGAAAATAATAACACTTGCATAAAAAAGACTGTGTGGGCCATCCTCAACCTATTGCAGGTTGTCTCCAAAAGATAGCTTGAAATTTGACCATTTCGAACAAAAAATATAATTCTATCATTAAAAAATGTAATCACTGTTTGTGTTAGGGTTCTCTAGAGACATAAAACCAAATTGCTGATAATTAAATATATTTATTTAAAAAGATAATTAGATATATAACAAGAAATGAACTGTTAAATCATATACAGATAAATATATAATACAAGAAATGAACAGTTAAATTATAAAGCACTACAAATGGCTCAGTGCAACTAACTCCCATGAGAGAGAGTTGTGAGAGACTAGCAGTCCTTCAAGTCTAGTCTGCTGCCAGATCTCCCTCTATTTATATAGAGAGCGAGGCTATCTCAGCACAGCAGCCAATCACAAGGCAGATCACCAACTGTCAACTAACCACCAGTCCCAACTGCCAGTCCCCAGCTCCAGAGATGTCTTAAAGGGACCTTAACTTACAGCAACAGAGTCCACAGGTTAGGCATCCCACAGGTAGTGTAGCCTATAAATTGAGGCACAGAACAAACAAGGCAGCCGCACATCGGTCCGATGATCAAAGAGCAAGAGACAAGAAAGGCGAGGCTCACCGAGCCATTTATCTCTCCGCCCTTCAGTTAATCCTACTTGTGTTTATCAGCCAGACTGGCATAATAAACTATCTCACTGTTAGATCATACTTGCTTATCCACGCCATATTGACCAAAACTCCAAACTCATTGCTACTGAGTCAATTCTGACTCATGATTACCCTCTAGAGCAGTGGTTCTCCACTTTCCTGATGCTGCGACCCTTTAATACAGCTCCTCATTTTGTGGTGACCCCCCAACCATAAAATTATTTTCGCTGATACTTCATAACTGTAATTTCCCTACTGTTATTAATCAGGTGACCCCTGTGAAAGGGTCGTTTGACCCTCAAAGGGGTCACGACCCACAGGTTGAGATCCACTGCTCTGGAGCAAAGTAAAACTGTCCCTGTGGGTTTCTAAGACTATATATCTCTCCAGGAGCAAAAAGTCTCATCTTTCTCCTGTGGAGTGGCTGGTGGGTTCAAACAGCCAACCTGGTGGTTAAGTATTATCACAACTACCTGACAGAGTGACCAGGGCTCCCCAGGCAATATTGGAGCTGAGATCTAGTAGAGTTCTACTGGATCTAACCACACATAAATCCCGACTAGAGGACCGTGGTGCACCCCAGGACCGCAGGCCCACAACTACCTCTAACAGAATCTTGGCATCAAGATAAGAGATTATCAGGCTCCCAAGCCTGCTGTATAAATAGTCGAAGAGTTGACTTTTTGTTTTGTTTTGTTTTGTTTTGTTTTAGGAACTGCTGTTGAATGTCCCAATTCAAGTTGTAAAGAATGTGTTTATCATTTTTGGAGCAACCAAGACACTTGATCCATATATTTGTATATATAAACTTGCTCCATATATCAGATATAGAAAGAATTATCTTTTAATTTTAGCAACAGATAAACAATGGAAGGGGCCTTTGTAGCTTAAGATTTAATTCTTAAATCAATCATTGCAAAGTTCAATTAACTATAACACTTAAGTCCAAAACTTTGGAGGTTCAAGCTTCTACTTATTGGCCTTCTTATGTTTAAACTCATAGACTCTTAGTGCCTTTGACAGCAACTGTGCAAATGAAAACTCCATGACCATTATGCATGGAAACACATTTCATTTTTACATTTAAAAAATAACCCTAAGAAAACAGTTTAATCAATGTCACTAACATAAAAGCACCTGGATCTTATTTTAAGTGGATAAGTCATGAGTTTTGTATAAAGACACTTCTTATGGAGGGTTTCCAGAGCTCCAGTCTATTAAACACATTATGTAGCATATGACTCCTTCCTTTTCATCTTGCTTTCTGTGCACCTTTGCGCCAGCTCTGCCATGTTCCTAAAAGCCCATAAGAGCAGAAAAATACTGACCATTGTACCACCGGTGTAGGAAATCCTTGGACAGTGAAACAAAGCTTCACAGACATCTTTTCCCAAACAGTATGGGACCTCAGCCTCACCAAGATCTCAGGGGCTCTCCTCATGCGTTCTTCAAATGTATGCCTTTCCCAGGCCTGCTTATCCTCCACCTGCCACCAGAATGGGAGAAGAGACCAAGCGTTGGAAAAGAGCATGTTTCATAAGTAAGTGCTGCTCCGAGTGATGGAGCCACATCAGCTTAATGGTGACAAATGGCAACGTAATCCACACATCTAAAAAGAGACTCTCCTACCATGTATTGGACAGCATATTTGTCCAGCCTCTCCTGAGCCAGTGAGCGTGCCTGGTGAACATTGTCTTCTAGCTGAGCCAGTTCACTGAGGAAGCGCTCCCGCTTGGCTTCTCCATAAGAAGCCATCATTGATTGGTACCTGCACGATCGAAGAAGCTACATGATTATTGTGACACGCACCTACTCCCTAGAGTCCTCTTCTCTTGCCCAGGATTTTCTTAAGTGGAGTGCAAGGAGAAATTGTAAAAATATCATTTAGAATTATTTTGTCTTTATTTTAAGCATACATTTTGGTGAAGTTTTAATGCCATACACTAAAAAAGTTGTAAAGGATGGCTATGATTCATCAATAAAATTCATTAGGGTATGCATGCCCTTATTTCTTTTTATCAGCAAGAATACTCCATTCGAGTAGTTTAGAGACACAAACGTTGTTTTAGAACGTTGTTATGAGTAGGCCAAGTTCTATTCTAAGAGTCTCTGTGTGTTTGAGTGTTGGAAGAGACTCGCATGTCTATTATAACCGACAAGTAGGAACCATAGCAAAACGGGACCTGAAGTAAGAAAAGGAACTGAGGTTCCTTACAAGTGGATTTGTCAGATGTTCACACATGGTAACTCTGACAATGAAAATGCTTAATAAAGACCTGACAGCTGCAAGCAAAGCACTTGACCTTTTCAGAACTTAGTCTCTTCATTTCTAAAATGAAGGCAAAGGTGGGTTTCAGGGGTTGGAGATTCAAAATGGTTAAGAAGCTGGGCTTCTAGGGTCAGTGCCATATGTTATGCCAGTTTAGGAACTAGCTAAGCCTCTTCCGCAAGAGTGAGTTTTCTTCTGCTGGGCAACATACAAACATTATTCATTATTCTGAAAAGTCTGAATTTAAGACCGAAGTAAAGTCAATTACTTAACATGTACAAATGAGAAATAAATCTATATCCTAGAAAAATTAAGAGGATAAAATGGAAGCTTCCCCTTGGCAGGGCTGTGCTGACAGAATATGACACACCCACGCTCTGTGCTCCACACACGGCACCTCCTGAGGCCTGGCCCCAAAGCCCACGTGACCCTCTCCCAGTCTCATATGCTCCCCACTTTTGTATTCCCTATCTACTAGCAAAGTTGGGATGCTTCTTGTCATTTCACTTCCTCTCTGCTGACGCCGACCAGGCCTCAGAAAAAATCCCCCCTTTCCTTCCAGGCCCGTCTCAAAGCAGTCTCCTGCAGGAAGCTCTGGCTAAGATCCACTTTCCTTTGAAACTTCACAGCTCTTTGATCTTCCCTTACGGCTTTTATGACAGCAACAAAAAAATCCCTGCCCCAAATTGTAATTTATGTATAGATTTTATCCCACTTTCACACTCACCCCCTAGCAGAATAAACTCTTTGGGGGAGAAAGATTGACTCCTGGCATGTCTGTAGCCTACAGATTGTTTAACAGATTACCCGCCCATAGTAAGGACCAGTTAAGTATCTGTGGTAGTTACATAAACTGGTGTCAACTTGTGGGTGGAGTCAAGCCTGTCAATCAGGTCACCGCTTGATGACCTCATTTGGAGGCACTAAGGAGATAAATAGCTCACTGGAGGCAGGACACACACTCACTCGCTGTGAAACATTACTGACTATGAGCCTAATGGAGCTAGCTACGCTGATGCAGCCAGAGCCTTGGAGCTGGAGGAACAATGTGGAGACCCATGCCAACACTGAGATGCTTCTATCACCACTGGATCCACAAGACTTTCCACCCACTGTCCTGTGATCTTCCAGCATTCCACATCATTACATGTATTTCATTATTCTGAAGAGAACTTTATGTATTGGTATTGGACATATGGGCTAATATCGGACTTATGAACTTGATCTGGACTGGGCTAGAATGTTTTCTCAATATTCAATTGATCTTGGATCTAAAGCTCTTTCTTTTTTTTTTTTAATCATTTTATTAGGGGCTCATACAACTCATCGCAATTCATACATCAATTGTGTAAAGCACATTTGTACATTCATTGCCCTCATCGTTCTCAAAACATTTGCTCTCCACTTAAGCCCTTGGCATCAGGTCCTCATTTTTTCCCCTCCCTCCCTGCTCCCCTCTCCCTCATGAACCCTTGATAATTTATAAATTATTGTTTTGTCATATCTTGTCCTGTCCGATGTCTCCCTTCACCCACTTTTCTGTTGTCCATCCCCCAGGGAGGACGTCACTTGTACATCCTTGTAATAAGTTCCCCCTTTCCAACCCACTCTCCCTCTATGCTCCCAGTATCACCACTCACACCACTGGTACTGAAGGGATCATCCGCCCTGGATTCCCTGTTTCCAGTTCCTATCTGTACCAGTGTACATCCTCTGGTCTAGCCAGATTTGCAAGGTAGAATTCAGAACATGATAGTGCGGGGAAAGGGGTGGGGGGCATTTAGGAACTAGAGGAAGGTTGTATTTTTCATCGTTGCTACATTGCACCCTGACTGGCTTGTCTTCTCCCCAAGACCCCTCTGCAAGGGGATCTCCAGTAGCCTACAAATGGGCTTTGGATCTCTACTCCGCATTCCCCCCGCTCATTCACTATGGTAAGATTTTTTGTTCTGATGATGCCTGATACCTGATCCCTTTGACACCTCGTGATCACACAGGCTGGTGTGCTTCTTCCATGTGAGTTTTGTTCCTTCTGAGCTAGATGGCCACTTGTTTACCTTCAAGGTTTTAAGACCCCAGAAGCTATATCTTTTGATATCCGGGATAAAGCTCTTTCATATATATATGTCTCCCTAGATTTGTTTCTCTAGTCCAACCAGACAAGCTCTTTCATATATATATATATAAGCTCTTTCATATATATATGAAAGACTCATATATATATGAGTCTCCCTAGATTTGTTTCTCTAGTCCATCCAGACTAACACAGTGTCCAGTCGTCTAAACTGGGTTGGGGAAGATAGGTGTCAGTGAGCAGTGAGAATCAGGAAGCTTGCGTGAGGTTAGAGAGGGCTTCAAAAAGTTTGTGGGAAATGGTATTAAAAGATCATGGAATTTTTTTCCTGTGAGCTTTTTGAAACCCTCTTACCAGGCATATAGGAAGAAAAAGAGACATGCAGGAAAATGTTTGTGCAAGAATAAATTGTTTGCAGTATAAATTTAGTTTGGGGACAGAAGAGGTTGCTGGACATATGTATAGGTTGGATATATATATTCATTCATTCATTTGCTTGTGTGTTTAGACTAGTAGAGATATTGGGGAAAATGCCCCCAAAATAACTGCAGTTAAGTGTAAAGTCCTATTCAAGAAGTTGGGTTCCATGGCGCCCGGTCTAACACCTTTCACAACATGACCCTGTCCCTGATTTCTGATTAGTACTTCTCTAACTGAACAGTATGTAAAACTATAAAATAATGCTAGTCATTTGGGAAATCTGAAACCTAATTCAGAATTTCAGAAAATTCTGTAGCTTTTTAATACAGAAATGTAGGTGAGAAACTATAAAAATTAAAACACGACCCAATATTTATTTACTCTTCTTCTTTACTTCTAAGTAACACACAACCTCATTTTCACACCACTCTCATCCTCACTCACACGCCTCACAAATACTGCCTCTCTTTCAGCTGTTGGAGAGAGACAGTTTCTTCCCGCCTCAGGTCTTTTCTACATGCCCTCCGCCTACTGCGGCATTGTCCCAACTCCCAACCCAGCTAACCCTACTGATTCTTGCGTTTCGATACAAATCTTACTTCTTCAAGTTATCTTCTCTGGATTCCACATCTAAAATATAACTCTGCCCCTTTTCCCAGCACCTTGTTCTCCTCTGATATACTGTCCACCCAATGTGAATATATGTCGGTTTACAACCTGTCTCTCCTCCTGGGCTCGAGATCCCAAGAGAGTGGAGGCAGTATCTGTTCGGTCCCCACTTTACGAGCACAGCACCTAGAGGAGTGTCAGGTCTCAGACTTCTGCCAACGTTGGTTGAACAAACGAAAACTCACACTGCCCAAGAAGTTTTGCAGACAATAAGTCTTCAAATTATCAGTGATTCTTACTGAAACATAGCGATGAAAAAAATGAAGCATCGTATGATAAGCTTCGAGGATCAGAAGTTCAATCTTGATGTCGTTTAGAATTTCTGTGTGCCTTTTCCATTTCGCTTACCAGAATCTCTGGTTTATTCTTAAGTTAATAGCACCACCATCCCCTAACATTTTACAATATTGAGCAAATATTCTGTCATAAATATCTGCCCCCACCCCACTCCTGCCCAATCTTCAGTCCCCAGTATTCTTACTTAATACATTTCTGCATATTTGTAATCAGTCAACCATAACACTGACTCTTTTGTACAGAATTATGTAATTCATCAAGCATTTACTCTCAATGACAAGCCCATTGGCAGCCTGAATGATTAAGGGAGAGACATTTTCACTTGGGCAGAAGTAATGACATCACAGGGACATTTCTAATCTGCCATATCTTCTGGAAGGACATGCTGACATCCTTCCAAACACGCCAGTTCCTCTTCAATATTTATTACACATGAAGATAAAAGCAGTAGCTCAAATTGACAAACCCACAACTTCATCTTTCTCAAAGGACCAATTTGTCCAATGCTTTAAACTAATTTCCGCCATGGGAGGTTAGGAATAAATAAGTGCTTTCCATAAAGCTTAGGGCTAGCATGAGTGGTGAATTATTATAGTAAGAGCCAGAATTCATTTAACTGCTCAAATCATTGTACACACTGGGGCACATTCATTCATACTTGGCCCTCCTACGTGATAGGAGCAGAGCTGGCATTGCTATAAAAGTGAAATTAACTCTGGCCCGACTAAGCAAAACCTCCTATTACTTAGATTTACTTTTAAAGGCAGAAAATTCTCATTTCAAAAAGATCTTTCACATGTACAATATGCACGTGGGTTATGAGGGAAAAAGGTATTGTGAGGTTTCTAAAAATATGCTATGCCACAGCATGCACAGTGAGTTCAGTATAGAGCTAGCAGATTCCCTCACGTCTTCCACAACGATGTCGCTTGCACTTAACAAGAGTGACTGACATTTATAATGTGCTTAAGAGGCACGGTAAAATTATAAGTAGTCATCAAAAATTAAAATACTTTCTTTGAGTTAGATTAAATATCAGAAGAAAGTAGACAATTGTACTTTAGGTAATTTCCAACAACCATGGAAGTCACAAAAGTCATCTTTGCTAAAATGTTATTAACCACAGTTTCATGTTCCTGGGCCATTCTATTCAATATTTACTTTCACCCATTTTATCAGTGGAGAAATTAGGGAATAGGAAGATTACGTAATATTTTCAAGGGCAATATATAATTGATTTTTTAAATGATAATGTTCAAGTCTTCTCACTCCAAATCCCCCAAATTTATATATTACCTACATGTAACTAATCTATACCTTACACATTATCTATATAAATCTTATGTATTGCCTACATGTAACTAATCTATATCTTACACATTATCTATATAAAATCAATCTAATACATAGGAATGCAGATTTTTAAAGTATATATTTGAAGTAGTTCTTTTACAACATAAATCCTGACTTTGTAATTAAAGCTATTTTACAAGGTACTCTAAAAGTTTGAAATTTTCTAAGTATGGGTTAATCTTTTCACCTATACCCTTCTTCATTAAATAAATTAATCATAACGCAAATTTCAAAATTAAATATATTTACAGTACTCCATCTCCCTTAGAGTTTTAAGATTTTTAAGAGATATCTTAAATTTCTACAAATAAAAGGGATAATTAAAGGAAAGATACAACAAGTACCATTAACTGAGTCATTTAATATGTATAATTATATGTTATATGGTTAAAGATCAAAGTAATACCACCACCTGTTTTGTGTTTTGTGATCTGGAAATAATTTTAAGACTGACATTTTTATTAATCCATCTCATTCCTATGACATCTTACCCTCATGAGCTGACTCCATTGAAATGCAAAGTATGACAATTTATAGAACCTCTTCACAACTCTTTAGTTTACACATGGACAACTGTTTAAAACCCTGGCTCCCTCTTCAGAAGTTGACCTTGCTTGAATCTACTACAGCCCTTCACCACTTTTTTCCTTTTTAATACTAATAAGTGAAGAGGCTGCGGGTGAACGCTCCAAATGAATATGCAACTTTTAGATCTCGATTTTCTTCCACTTCTTATGATGTTATTCCTCAAGGGAAGGTGTTCAGTTCGGTGTAAGAGAGTCACAAAGACCAAAGATTGATCCCAGCTCTGGCGTTGATGAGTTCTGTAACCTTGGACAATATAGATGACTTCCTTTACCTTAGTGTTCCCATCTGCAAAATAGGATGCAGTTCAAATTCCAAATGCTCTTAGTAGCGTCAAATGAAATAATAAATGTACATGATAAGAAAGTAAGAAAAAGTGAAACCTTATTTTTTTCATTCCTAGCAAGTACTATCTCCAGGTTTCTCTGAACATTCAGCTCGTGCTCTCTGGCCTACAGAGGACCGTTCCTCTCTGTTAAGCTCAGGAAAGGTTTCACCAGCGTAATGAATTGAATATGAATGTACAATCTGTGAGAGCCAACTTGTAGTGAGTACCTTCTTTTCCTTTCATGTTCTTCCTCTTCGGCCGAAGCCCTTTTGGCACAAAGCCTGCAAGTTGTTCCTCCAACTGACCACTGGCCAGATGCTCTCTGGGAGGATGACTTCTGTGTCAAAGACTTCTGGCTCGATGACTGCGTTGAAGCACGCCTTTATGGAAATAGAAATATTTAGAAGACATACGAAAATATATGAATAATAAAATAACCAATGTAGCAAAATCTATTGCTCATCATAAACAGCGTTATCTGCTTTCTCTACACTCAGTCCAGAAAAACACACACCACACACACACTCACAATCTATTTCTCTGCACAGCCACGGCTCTTTTTTATCTTCTTTGTCCCACCGTTCAGTGGGAATCCTCTGTAGTATTAAATTAAAAGTGGCGAGGGGGAGTGAGGGGCCAGTCCCCACCCACTGATACTACTACTCGGATTCAGTAATGCACAATTGTATGGTTGAGATATATAAGTATTATATTAAAGTCATCAAGAGCATGAGAGATATTACAATAATACAGTCAGAGATATTACATGGTAGCATTGCTCACCTCAGCCCAGCTTAGTGGTCCACGTGGAGAGAGGGGGAAGGGAAGGAGGTTAAGGGAACAAGGGAGAGGGGAGTGACCAGGGAGTAAGCAGCAAGGAGCTCAGAGTCAGAGAGAGATCTATATTGCTGACTCACACCTATATACCTTTTGGGGGCAAGCCAGCCCACTAATTACAGGTAGAGACATACATAACAGGGAGGAGCTGCACTATAGATTGCACAGCAATGAGTGGGTGGTCTAGGGGTTGGTCTCTGGGTCTCCATCGGAACCATTATCAGTAAGGTGAAAACTCCTCCTACAGGAGCCTGTCCATTGTCCCCAGAGGCAGGGAGCAGGCCCACCCCTGTGGTGGGATGAGACAGCAGCCTGGCAACTGATTGCCTTCAGGGGAGGAAATGCCTGCGCATCTGACCTCCCCCCACACCTCTCCAGGCTGAGTTTCTCTATGGATCTTGCCATTTTCTTTCAGGGGTCAGTTGGTAGCTTCCACAGACTTTTTGGCCTAACTAGATGATCATATTTGAGCAACTTTAAAAATGAAATGATCATGGAGTTTTTCCATGAATATTTGGAAGCCACTTTGTATATTTTTAGGGATTTGAAACTCCTTTTAAGTTACTGGGAGAGACAGTGAATGCTTGGCTTTGTTTGTTAAGAGGAATGGCAACCAGATACAAGTACTATAAAGTGTTGCTAAATACAGGGTGTTTACAACATATGGGCAGGCACCAGAGTGGCTGGAGAATGCCAAGCTTTGCAATCACTTTCATTCTCCAGCACAACTTTCTAATTATCCAATTAAAATAGATATGCTGCCACATAGGTAGACTTGATTGTAGCATGTGTGGTTGGTCTGTGAGGACTGTACCTTAGACACTTGCAGAAGGAAATGTGGACTTGATGTCAGCCTATTTTGCAGTGAATAAGTTCACCTTTACTACATTTATTATCAATTCAGTAAAAGTATTGTTACTACTGGCTTCCATTCAACCTTGACCTTAGAACTCATCATCTTCTTTCCTACCTGGAGTCTTTCTCACTGAATTTCTTTTCATTGCCCTTTTTGGGGGGGTGACTCTTTAGATTTGAGCTCTGAAAGGTCTTTTAGTCAGAGTAAAATCAACCAGCATTTACTAAACTCTCCCTGCATTCATTAACTAATCCAAGGGTTTAGAACCAGTATTTGAGGTAAGGCTCTGCCAGGAGAGCCCACAGCTCTCCACCCTGAGTGCTCGGCCAGGCCTGGACCTGAGCCACATCCTGCTCAGCATTTGGAGATGTGCATCAGTGAGCACATCTTATTTCCAGACCCCATCCCACGCTTGTGATCTCTCCGTTTCAGGAAACTAGATAGCTGTGCCTCGCTTTTAAATTGGGGGCTATATCAAAGCTCTATGACTCTGTTTCATGAATTTCAACTTACTTTTTGGCTGCATATTCATCCAGAAGATATCTTGTTTGAATGTGACGATATGACCGGTCAAAGTGTCTGTGTCTCTTTTGGTAGAAAGGTACTGCTACGAGTGACATCCTTGTGGCTTCCTACAAATAAAGAGGAGCACAAGTATCGCTGAGTGTCTCCTCAGCTACAGGCATGCTTTTGCAATGACTCGCATGAGTACTACTAATTCTTCCAAAGGGAGAAAATCAACTCAATTCAGGGAACCTATTCCAGAAAAAAGTGATGAAAAGACTGTACAGGTGATTATATTGGATTGGAGTTAAGAAACCTATTCACTTCCCATAGACCTGAGTTCATGTGAATTCAATTACAATTTTTAGAATGCCTAGTTTATTCAAAGCCATATTAAAGCAGTGGGGGAGAGGGATAAAATACTTAAGACAGAGATTAGATAAGTAAACAAATTCTTTAAGCACAATATAAGATTTGATGTGTGCCAATGAGCGGCGAGAAGGAGCTGGCACCAGAGCGCTCGGGGACATGGCAGCGAGCACATGGGACAGGAGAAAGGGGCAGTCGAGAGAAGGTCCCATGAAGCCGGTGACCTTGGAGATGGGTAGTACTCTGACCAGGCTGAGATGGGGATGGAAAGCAGGGCATTCCGTGAGCAAAGGTAAGAGGTTGGAAAATATGGGCTCTCAGGATACTGGAAAAATTGTAACAAGAAATCACTCTGTAAAGTGTAAAACCACATGCAGAGGGCTTTTGATGTCTTTCTGAGAAGCGGAGTCATCTCTCTATTCAAAAGGGGGGAATCGAGGGGAAAATTCATCTCCAAGGCTCCTTCCGGGGCCATCATCCTGAAGTCATTCCTCACAGGTGACTTGTAGACATGCTTGGTTCGGGTGGGCAAGAAAGCTGGGACTGAGTCCAGCACCAATACCTCATGGCTTGGAGGAGAAAATATCAAGTTTTGATTAAGTTCTCCGGAAACAGTTAAGATCCTTCCTTGTCTCTGGAAATTGGAAGATCTGAAGCTATTAGACATAGTCATTTCTTTCACATATTCATCCAAAATTACTAGAATGCAAATTTTGTTATTTGATTCTATCTAGAAAGTTATGGAGACTGTATATGGAATCCTTGTCACCATTAATTTCCCAAAGGAAAGAGCAAAGAGCTCCTCCAAACAGAGCTCCATTTTGTGATTTATGTTTAAATCAGAATAATCTGGCTTGCTCTAAAGACGGAGCTCTTAAGTAAAGCCCCATTATACAGCCCCAAGGATACGAGTTACACAGAGGACCATGGTAATAGAGGCTCCTTGAGTTTAAAATGTCATGATTCTGCTATAAGATTAAATAGTCTTATAGCATACCTTTTTAAGTATACTTTTTGATCAACTTTTCAGACTAGGCTTTTCTAGAATCACATAATTAAGAGCTGGGAAGATCCTTCCAAACACAAGGGCCAAGAAAAGAGATGATTCCTTAAACTATATAGCTAGAATTAGCCCACCCAGAAGTCATCAGACTACAGTTTCTGGATCTTTTCTATTCATCTCACAAACTGATCCCACATTTCCTCTCAAAAATCACCTAGTCAACCAATCAAGAGATAATGAGTACCTGACACGTGCTATATAGTGTAATGATAAATTCATTATAAATATGTAATATAGTGGAACACATAAAAGTGTATGTCCTTCATTGAACCCAATTTTGAAATCAGCATTATAATACAAAAGCTACATGTACTGGCTTTCACACCTGAGAGCCCTGAATTCAAACTCTAACTAAGATGTGCTCTTGGGTTGTTTCTGAATTTCTCTAACTCTGAGACACCATGTATTTGTCATTTCTATTTTATTATTATAATTTCATTGTTATTAGTAAATAGAATTCTGTAAACAGGAAATTGTGTATTAAAAATCTATCACTTTAATATTTCAAATATCCAAGGAGTTCCTCAACGAATCCATAAAGGTAGATCTTTCAAAAAACTTCCTGGCCATGAGTGTGGATGCCCCAGACTGTCACTAGAGTCTAGGTGTGTGGTGTTGGGGAAAACTCATTGAATTGAAAGCAGACCAGCAACATTCTCTGACCATGTTACTGGCTATTGCGAGACATCTTTCATCATCCTGAGCCGGAGTTTCCTCTTCAAAACGTCCTCTCTTGTATTTGCACTGAGATTGGGACATTATGCTGCACAGAAACTTTGAGTGACCTTCACAAGCACTGTTTGCCAGGTTGTTGTTCCATATCGCAGTATTTGTGATAAACGTGTGTTTATGTTGGGTTAACCTTCAAGTTGTGTCCCTTGGCAAAAGGACAAGTCCAAAAATGGCCTAGGTGACAGAAGAGAAGAAGCCATCATGAAACGCTGACACTGTGCCACTTAATATCTAAAGAAGCTATTCCAAACTTGATTAGAGCCACGCTCGCATTTGAATGTCAGCTGTCTGGTGAAGGTTATCATTGCTCACGACTTTATAACCCGGTGACTGGATTATCTTGGACTGGTTTTCAATGATCTGCCCCGAGCTAGGAGAACAATCAACACTCAATACATCGACTGAATTTGACACGTGGTTGTGTGGGCCTGGAAGTCTCCAAACACTTCATTTGTGAAGAACATATCCTTTGTAGTGATTAGACAAGTGGATCTGGAATCGAGTGCCTACTTTCCCATATTTCTCTGCCCATGCACTTACTGTCAGCCACTTCCTCTGAGTGGCAAGTATTTTCCCCCATGATATCTTTGGAGGATGTTGGTAAAAGAGCATTTTGCTAAATTTATTCCCATTTTATTCTCTACCCATGTAATGAAATGTTTGCAATTACCCTTGTTTCCACTCATTTTTCCTTCTAAAAATATATTTGAGCTCCTGCCACACGGAAGCCAACATATGTCATAGGACCATAGGATTTCAAAGACTGAAACAGCCTTGCTTCAGACATGGGATCAAATACATGCCTTCTATGGAATTTGTGCAAATGTGTTCTCAGCTCTACTTTCCTTTTATGACTTTCATGACTCACATGTCAAACACATATACCAGCCTCACACCATTACCAGTCTGCTTATTTTATTCCGCACTACACTACGTCCATCTCTGCAAACGAAAATCTCACGGCCATCGGGTCAATTCCAACTTACAAGCACCCTATAGGGCAGAGTGTAACTTTACCCCTCCGTGACCTTTAGATTTTCAGAGCGTCCCCAGTTGTCCCTAAACCAGCTTGTTGCAAACTCCTCAAAGCCATACATGATGGAGACGTAACGCATATTCTTGGAGACATACCCCTGGAGACACAGAGGGGGTTCGGGAGATAGCTACACGCACGGAATCACAATGCATTTATCAGTGAAATTAAACCAAAGACAACAAACTACTTATTATAACAAAATGAAGAGCCAACTAGAGTCAAATCTATGACCTGAGTCACAGAACCAAGGAATTCACAAATGTTATAGCTTATAGAAATTCTTGAATCTATGACCTGTGAGTCAGAGAACCACAAACTGTCATGGAATGGAGAAATCTAATTCAACCCTTGTGTTTTCAGTGAGCACAGTGAGGCCCTGGGAACTGGCAGGGTGGTCTGAGGTCTCCGACTGCTCCTCCCCACCAGGGGATTCCTACCTAAAACCATGCACTGGGATCTTGTCACTCTGCTTGTTGCTTGTGTCTGTGGGACCATACTTCAGACATGCTAGAAGAAGCAGAGAAATCTGACATCTTGCTGGCATCTGTATTTCACTCTTCCTTACGGTTATAATAAGTAGTCTGTGGACTCTGGTTTAACTCCTATGGTCATTTTCACTTGCAAATTCATTGCAAATCCATGGCTCCAGACTATAGTGGAAGAAAGATGAGGCTCTCTACTCATGTAAAGGCTGATCTTCTCAGACCCACAGCCGTGGTTCAACCTGTTATATAGGGTTGCTACGAGTCAGAATTGACTCGATGGCAGTGAGTTGTTTTGAGGGTTTGTGTTTTTGTTTTATTTTTTTAATGACTATCTGCCACACAGCACTGTCAGCACTAAACTGCCAAACGCACTGACCATGGTGGAGATCAAGCAGATCCTGTCAGTCAGAGGTGTGCTAAATACACTGGGGGGAGGGGGAGTGTTTTTTAATTTAGTTTGGGGGTTTGTGTTGTTTTGTTTTTAACATATTTTGACCTCACACAGTTTCATATATAGTATCATCCTATCCTTATTAGCATTTTGACTTTACAGATGATAAAACTAAAGTTCCCCAAAGACTGTAATAATTTGCCAAGGTCACAAGGTTAGTCAGTGAGAAAAGCTCCAACCCAGATTGTCTGACTAACCTAACCCTCTTTCCCCTCACCCCTGCCTCAGGCTCTTTTTGGCTCCCCAGGCTACTCACGGAATGCTCCTGACACGTTTAGGAATTATGACACCAAAATGCAATGTAATACTGTCCTCAAGTACAGGCACTGTGTGTCTGTGACATGCTCAGTACTAATCCCTTCCTGAGAGGAAAACTTGGAACCAATCTTTTATGTCACCCAGAAGGATTTGAATTTGTGAAAATATTTCAGGTACAGAGCTTTTACTTCCATTTAATGAAAGAAATCATCATTTGAACAGCTAAAAGTGCCCAAGTCAATGAACACACCAAATGAAAGCAGTTCTAGGGAAAAAGAAGAGAATTAATTGCTAGAGTGTTGGTCTGCATTCCATGTGACAAAATGCTTGGGTCCTAAGACGGGTTTTATTCTAACTTAATCACAATGTGAAGTACTTTCCCCAAAGAGTTTTCCAAACTCCTTATTTCCAAAATTAGCTCTAACCGGGCACAAAATGATATTTTAAATAATTATCAATGATTAATTCAATAAACTTTGATGTCTATTCAAAGTCAGCTAAATTCTCACATCTTCCTCCCATATAGTCTTTAGAAAATAAGGAGTTTATTCAAGCAGTTCAAGCTCCTTGAGTAAACCTACTTGTTGTACTTCGTAGGGCATCTGATTCATTCGTTCCTAATGCTTTAGCAGTGTCAAAGTAAGGAGAGAAAGGAGGTAATGTCTAGCTTTCTGGGCAGGTCAGCCAGGCAACAACCCAGAGATGTAAAGTATGTATTTTCTTCAGTGAATGTAAAACAAATCAGCAGTTATAAGAATGTTTCATTCCGTGCAAAGTTTATCCATGGAAAAGTTTTACTCATGTTTGTATAAAAGAAGGTGCCTAACCCGATGTTAGTTTTATGCAAATTCACTCCAAAATCATCCAGTTCCATTTATTAAATGGCACCTTTTAAATTTTCTTTATTCCACTTGCTCTTTGATTCCTGTTTTACTTCTCTTCAGTAAGGAGCCATGAAGCAGTAAGATCAGGGAAGCTGGTGGATTTCAACCACAGCAACCTCCGCCTTCCTTCATGACTGCCCTTCTTTTGCCTCCTGAGGAGAGTCGTCCAACTTCACTCCCTTCTCCCAGCAGGCATGGTGTCAAGAGCAGCCCTATCAGACCTTGACCCAGGCTCTAGCAGAAGGACTGAGCTGAAAACCCACAGCATATCCAAAAGCACAAAGAAGAGCAGAAATTTTGAAGTATAAGAAAGCTGAAATTTTGAAGTAAAAACTGGAAAGTACTGTCTTAAGTCTAAATTGTATGTTTTTTTATTTCTTTTTTGGCCTTAGGAATATATTCCATTTTATTTTGCATGCAACACGAAGGGATGTTAAAATGTTATAACAACAATGATCATGACCATGGAAAATAAAACACATATATTAGTTGAACATAAAATCTAATCAGATAATACAGACCTCTGACTAACCAGGTGCCTTTTGCCTTTCTATCCCATGTAGGAAATGATGAGTATAATGGAGTATCCTGGTCAAATCTTTACCCAGAAAAGAAAGGTCCAGCTGGGACATTTGAGTGTCAATGGCTTTTTTGCGCGTTATTAGTCCTTCCCCCCAAAGCCACAAGTTAGAAAGGGAAAGAAGAAAACAGAAACTTACCCAGGAAGAAATGAAAATAGCTCAGAGGAGAGGCACTGCCCCACCCAGCTCTCCCCACTCCAGCTGAGGAAAGTGCAACTGAGAGAGATGGCCAGAGAGATGCTATATATAGAATCGGGGCGTGCCTCTCCCCAAACTGGTACCTGCACGGCAGAGCCTGAGCCAGGGCATAAGGAGAGAAAACTTCTAGGCATGTTAGAAAAATCAAAAATAAAAAGGTTCAGCACTGAATCACAAAGTAAGCTTTTCTTTTCCTAGTGGAATTCATATGACAATTCTGCTACTCAAGAAAAAGCAGGGAGGAAATCAAGTATTACCTCTACCTGGCTCTCCCCTCCACTCATTTTACGTTTTAAATGTTAATGCTCAGATGTAGTCTCTATCCTTTCCAGTTATAAGACCCCAGGCATGTAAATTGACACTCACACAGGAATCTTAATAATGGGTTAAATTACAATAAGCGCTTTTGCCATTTAATAGTGATTGTTCTCTAAAAATTAAAGAATACTCTTAGCCATGGATGAAAGAAAGTTTGAAGTCTGTAGATTTTGGAGGGTTTTTTATGTTTTGTTTTGTTAATTTCCAAACTATTCAAGTTTTCACTTGATTTCATTCTAGAGTTAATTTAGGAAGAACTGCATACCTAAAAGAGGAACTATGCCTAGTCGGCAAGTTGCACCTTATTTATAGTTATTACCACAGGCATACACTATATCTAAACAGCACAGATAATTCCAGCATGCCCGTATTTTTGCACAGCGTGTGTTGAAATATAAATAATACATAACGGGACAATTGCGTGCTGTAACATGGCATGTATGATGGAGAGAAGGTGCTCGATGGGGACAACCACTTGAGAAATGACAACATGGAGACCACATCTGACTTCACAAGTGGAAGAAGAATTCAATGGTACATCGGCCAAGTTTAGACATGCCTCTGCTAACTAACTTCTTTACTCTCTGTGACACCAGTCAACTGTCCCTCCCACAGCAGTTCTTCTGTGCTATTTTCAAAAGTCCATTGCCACACAGAACCCAGAGACAAAACAATAACGGGTTACACGTGAGGTTCAGAAAGCTTAAGGATGCAATCCTTTTGTCTGCAGTGCCTCTTAGCCATGACCGCTGGCACACCACTCTACCTCTCAACCGTGAGGCCCCTTGACTTTTGCCCTAATCAGGAAAGTGTTACAAAATTCCTTCAGCAATGAAAAATGTCCAAAGGGCATTCTGCAAGCCAAGCTCTTGCCCTAAGGATTCAACTTTAATTATTCCATGGACAGGGACGCCTGCTGCTCTGTTTCGTGCTCCAAGTGCTTCTCCATGCCAGGATCTGAGATACACTTGGCTCTTCTTTCTTTATGGTTGAAGTATTCTCCATTCCTACCTCTGAGATGGCTCAAGGTATACCCAGTGAAAAGGCAAAATGGACCATTCCCCATGTTAGAGTTCCTCCCACCCAGGCATTTGTGGGTGTTGCAAACACTACAGCTAGATGAGCGATTTCAACTTCAAGTGCACCGCACAGCTAGTCTCAGAGTCCTGGAGAACTATACGTAGTCTAATGCCAGCTTCCCTTGAGGAGATGTTGAACTTTAGAAACATTCAACTTCTGTTATTCTGTTTCTACTTCTCTAAAATGTTTTTAATAATAACTTCTTATAAATGTGTTGTAAGCATGACAGAAATAACATATTGAAAGTATGTGGGAGCTTTCAGAAACTCGATGTTCCCACTTGTCTTTTATATGAAAACTGTGAAGAACTACTAAAACAAGTCAATAAATACACTTAATTTAACAAATATAGAGAAAAAGTCATTTACTTTACTCATTTGAGAACCCGTCGGATACTTAATTGTGGCCTACCTGTTTTTAATTTTGTTATATCTATTTTAAGCCTGCTATGAGCTAGTCATAATTCAATAAATAAATGTAGACTGTGGCAAATAAGCAAAGGTAGTCACACACAAAAAAATCAAACTCCCTGCCATTAAGCCAATTCAGACTCACAGCGACCCTACAGAACAGAATAGAACTGCTCCTGTGGGTTCTAAAAGCTCAACGCTTTATGAGAATAGATAACCTTGTCTTTGTCCTGGAGAACAGCTGATAGTTTCCAACTGCTGACTTGCAGTTAGCAACCCAATGTATGACCACTACCTACCAGGGCTGTCTTAATCAAAGGCAGTGGACATGATATTTTTGTTTATCAGCATCTCTTCCTTAAGGAACTCAATCATCCATATCTTCCCTAAGGTCATTGCTGAACTACCAATCATACTTCAGTCCGACTTCCCTAAAGGACACACAGTGCAAGAGAACAGTTAGCATGCCCCAAGGTCAAATGGCACCTACTTACTGATTTTCATTCCTAGCCTCTTCTGAGGAAATAATCTCAAGATGTGTGTTAGACAGGGTTCTCTAGAGAGATAAAACCAGATTGCTGATAATTTAATATATTTATTTATAAAGATAATTATATATATAAAATGAAAATGAACTGTTAAATCATATACAGATAAATATATAATACAAGAAATAAACAGTTAAATTAGAAAGCACTACAAATGGCTCAGTGCAACTCACGTCCATGAGAGAAAGTTGAGAGACTAGCAGTCCTTCAAGTCTGATGCCAGATCTTCCTCTATTTGTAGAGAGAGCTAGGCTATGTCAGCACAGCAGCCAATCACAAGGCAGGTCACCAACAGCCAGTCCCCAGCTCCAGAGAAGTCTTAAAAGGACCTCATCTTACAGTGACACAGTCCACAGGCTAGGCGTCCCACAGGCTCTGTAGCCTTTAAATTGAGGCACAGAACAAGCAAGGCAGCCGCACACTTGTCCGATGATCACAGAGCGAGAGACAAGAAAGGCAAGGCTCACCAAACCATTTATCTCTCTGCCCTTCAGCTAATCCCACTTGTGTTTATCAGCCAGGCTGGCACAATAAACTATCTCAATCCACCCCTTGCCTACCTGGCACCTGTATGCAATTCTTTAGCCATATATACATATATAATTTACGGACACTGATGAAATCACATACTTATCATCAATCATCTATTATACATATAAATGAAAACAGTCCAATTATATCTGATATATCATACCTGAATGAAGGAAAGATATGCAATAAACACATAAAAAGAAAATACATTGACAATTACAAACCTCGCATGTGCAATTGATTACATGGTCATAATTGATAGGTAGAACTACCTTCTACTACTACCCATTCTGTATTACCTTTGCCCTCAGCAAGCACCTCAGCTGGCTGTGGTTTTTTGCCTGGTGGGTTGACCCAGACCTTCATTCCTGAGG